GCGACGAGGACCAGAAGGACGATACATAAGAGGAAGACGACAGCGACGGTAAGGATGAGGGTAAGTAAGAAGCTGCGAGGGAAGAAGACGACGAGGAGGAGGAGGACGACGACGGCGACGACGACGACGACGAGGAAGGCGACGAGCAGGAGGCGGAGCACCACGACGACGACACTGACGATCGACTCTGTCCGGAGTTAGACTGGGCCGACCATGGCAAAAGCGGGCACCCTGGAATATCCAACAAGTCTTCCCGCGAAGTAAGTCAACATCCCAATAATATTCAGGCGAATCTCCAAAACATCTTCGCACCTTAAAGATAATGTGCCGAATGTCACAATAACTCCGTGCCGCCCACATCTTCCGGCGACTCTCCCAACAGTTTTCGTTTCATAGCAATAGCCAGCGACATCTCCCCTGGAGATTTCCCGGAGATGGTCCGGCGAGGTCCCACATTTGTTCCAGGGATTTCTGCACGCCGGAGATTTGTCCCTACCTAGGCTCTGCCTAGAAGGGTTCTTACTCGGTAAGCTTGAAGGGCCGGGCAGTGGGGCCCGCCCCGGGCGGTTCCCCCAGCATCCGCCCCGCGGGTACCCCAGTGACGTCCCCTTAGCTGAGCTTAACTTAGCTTAGCCTAGCCTGGCTTAGCGCAGCATTAGCATAGCATAGCATAGCATAGCATAGCATAGCATAGCGCAGCATAGCATAGCGCAGCATAGCATATCATAACATAGCATAGCATAGCCTAGCATAACTTAGCTTAGCACAGCACCGCGCAGCATAGCATAGCATAGCATAGCATAGCCTAGCCTAGCATAGCATAGCATAGCATAGCGCAGCATAGCATAGCATAGCAAAGCATAGCGCAGCATAGCATAGCATCAAAGCAAAGGCAAACCAACAACAGCAACAGCAAAGCAAAGCACAAGCAACGCAGAGCAAAGCAACGCAAAAGCGAAAGCAAAGCAAGGGAAAGGCAAAGCAAAAACAATGTGCTTTCCTAGAGGCTCCAATTCCTAGGTAGGGTCGCTCTGGGATAATCAGTAGATTTGCCCGAGATCTTCAAGGGATTATTGCACGCCAGAGATTGTCCATATATTGTCCTGAGATTCCTGCACCCCTGAGGTTTCTGGAGATGTCCCAGAGATTGCTGTAAAGCCCGAAGATTATCATTCGATTTCCCTGGAGACTCGTGGAGCCCAAAGATTTAGGTGAGATTTCGGCCAGGCACAATTTGGAGATTTACCCGGAGATTTCCCGTAGTATAGATTGGTCACCCAGAGCGCCCCGGTCGCGTTTGCCAACGGACCCAATATAGGCTTGGAGGCCTCTGGAGGAGGTCTTCGGAGGTGCCCAGAGGTCTCCGGAGGCCTCCAGGAGTTCGTGGAAGCCTAAGAAGTGCCCGAGGCGTCCAAAAGCCCCGACCCTCGATCCTCTGGAGGCCATCCTCGGGGCGCGAAGGCAGTCGCGCCAGAGGCGTCCAAAAGCCTCGGCCCTCGATCCCCTGTCTGCCGCCCTCCAGGGCGCCACGGTGATCGCGCCCCGCGCGTCGCGGCCCAGGCCAGGGCGGGTGCCCTTCCCAAGGGGGCGGCACGTGGGCGCGAAGGTGGCCGCGCATCGCGGGGCGTAGTGCGCGAGGCTAGACCTGCAGGTGGGGACGCGCACCAAGAAGCCATTTGGCGTTCGTCAGGGTGCCCTGGGTTTCTTCGTTTCCAGTGAGGCGCGCCGACTTCACCCGATCGTTGAAGAGGCTGTTGCGCCGTGGGTGCCCGGGGTTTCTCCGATTGGATCCCATGGATAAGAACCCCAGGCCCTGGGCAAGAAACGTCGCGGAACTTCAGGGTTGGGTTTCGAGGGTGTCTTGCAGCCGCGTCCCCACTGTAGGTCCTCGATCGGCGGCGCCGACGACGGCGACCAGATTTGACGGCGGCGGCGGCGGCGGACCGAGCTTGGGGAAGCCAAAAAAGGTACCTATACCGCTGCTGCCCAGACCTCTCCTGGGGTGCGTTCCGACCAGAATTGCGAGGCGGCTCCAGCGGTGGCGACGAGGGCCTCCGAGGAGGCGGCCCGAAACGGGGCAGACGGGCGAAGGGTAGCTAGCGGTATGGGTACCTTCTGCCCCCTCGGGGAGGTGCGGCCCCCGTGGGCACGGGCGCTGGCGGCCGCGGTGGCGCCGTACTTGGGGCACAACTCGGCGTACGTGCGGGGCATGGCCGCCTGGGGCTTCTACCAGGCGCCCTCTCCCGGGGGGCCCAGACCGCCGACGACGTGAGTCGTTGCATCCCGTCGTTTGTGCCTCCCTCCCCTCCCCTCCCCTCCCCTCCCCTCCCTGCCTATCCGCCCCCCCCCTCCCTCCCCCCTCGCCCCCCCCCCCCCCTCGCCCTCTGATTTTGGCCCTCGTGCGCCGTTTTCTTGCCGACGGGCAGTCAACCATGGATCCGTAACGAAAACTCCGCAGTTCCCCACGGATCGGGCTGGCATTGATGGCCCCATGGGGTGCCCATCATCGCTCTACTCACGTAGCTAAATTATCATCCTTCGCGTCCTCTTCCGTTGTACCATTACGGCGAGTCGGACCACGGCTTCTTACTTTGCTTGCTTCGTGCCGTTTCGGATAATAGGCTACACATCTACGCAATTACTTGTGGTGGCATCACGACTCGTATTACTGATCATGGTATCATGATTTGCGATTGCGATGAATTGGCAGTGCAAACAATAATACGATGTCGCGCGTCACAGTTACCTGGTGCAACCACTAGCTATTCGCGCTTCGACTTCTACTATGACTACTTCTGCGATTGCTACCGCTGTGCCTTCCACAACCACTCTTACGATTAGGAATTCCACTAGCCTTTTACGGCGTAGGTTGTTCAGAGCGCTTGCTCTTGGAAACCCGATCATTCTCGTGCAACCCCTATTATTCCTGTGTCCCTAGCACCTCTCCCGGGTCTGGACGGGGGGTGCGGGAACCCGTCAGAGCGTCCAAGAAGGAAGGCATCAGCGAAACGACGAAAGCCATTGTTTTCCATGGTTGTGGGCCTATTGTGGCATCCTGGGGGGGGCAGGAGTGTTAAGGGTCCCTCCTTTCTGAGATCGATCGCCTCCCAGATGACCTCAAGGCAGCCGGAAAAGCTTGCATGAGAGCCCCAGGAGGCCTCCCAGAGGCCTTTCAGAGGCACCCAGTGCGCTCCAAGATCCCCTTCGAGAGCCAGCAAGAAGCCCTCAAGACGCCCCAATATGCTTCAGAGTGCCATCTAGAGACCCCAGAAGACCCAAGGCAGAATCCCAGGGCCTTCTGGCCCACACAGGCGCCCGAGATTTCCAAGTGACGCCACGCTCCCCCGTTCAGGGTAAGGTGGAGATACGCGAATATTTAACAACAGTACGGCGAATGATGCGAGTAATAGTTCGACAGCAAAAACTGAATGACGGTACTGGTAGAAGGTGTTATGCAGTAGTAGTCGCTGCAATAATACGACAGACTCCACTCATGCGACTGCGTCAGCGTTGTTTCTACTGCTCCCTACACCGAATCCAGAAGTGCCACGGCAAACCTGCAGGTAGTTTGGATTGGCCCAGCTTCCACTTACGCTTCCTCAATCACCCAACCGCGCAAGTGAACGCAAGTCAATACTGAACGCGGTCGTGGCCCGTCCCGCTTCTGCCGATTCCGCACCAGTATTTGCAAATAGAGGTTCGTTCTCTCATTTCCGTCTTCATATCTATATCTATATCTCTCTCTCTCTCTCTTTCCCCGGTCACCACGGGCGGCGCCTCCGCCCCGCCACTCCGCCAGCACCTCTCCCTCTCTTTTGCTGTCCCTCCTTTCTGCCCCCCCCCTTTTCCCCCTCCATCCTCCTTTCCTCCTCCCTCCTCCTCCTCTCCTCCCCCTCCTCCTCCTCCTCCTCCTCCTCCTCCTCCTCCTCCTCTTCCTCCTCCCCCTCCCCCTCCTCCTCCTCCCCCTCCTCCTCCGTTTCCTCCCTTTCCTCCCCAACCGTCGCCCGTTCGGGGCCGCGCTCGGGGCCGCGCCGGTCACTCTGCAGGGGTGTGCGGCGCGGGGCGTCGGGGGTGGGATGGCCGAGCTGAGGCGGGGGGCGCCCGCTCGGCAGGAACGCGGTGGGGCCGCCCGCCCCCTTCCAAGCGCATGGCTGGGTGGTTCGCGCAGCGGCGCCTTGCCGCATCAGCAGTGGCTCGGCTGCCCCCCCCCCCCCCCCCTCCTCGGCAGGGCTCGGACGCGTGCGTGTGTTCTCGGCGAGGACCATCGAGGAGCAGCCTGGATCACCGAGGAAAAAAGAGCACGCACGGAACCGAAGAGTGCACGGGGAATGGGCGTCCGAGCGACGGCAAGCATCCAGGAATCCAGCCTGGAGGCCCACCTTTCCCCCCCTAGTCCCTCTTGTCGGCGGCGAGCCCAGGGGGGAAGTGAGAAGGGGCGGGCCTTCTCAGAAGGCTCGGAAGTCCCCTGGCCTTTTGAGAAGTTCTCTGAGCCCATCCCGAAGACATCGAACATTTTCAGAAGGCTGGAGGGCTTCTGAGAAGACCTTTCCCTTTTCACTTCCCCCCTCGCTTGCTGCCGATCTTTGGATTTCGCAGGTCTGGAGAGGCGCGTCAATGCCGCGGCCCCCCGAACAAGCGCGGAGCCGACGCGCCAATGCGCGGGCTGGTTGTCGTGCCTCGGAGGTGGGCGGAGAACCCCTCCGATTACGACTCACAGAGAGGGAGGCCCCAGCCGGGGACCTTCGGATCCCACCTTGGAAAACATGCAGCAGCATCGCAGATCACGACTGGGGCCCTATGCCCCATCTTTTTCTGGGTTGTTTTTGGAGCCGGATCGATTTGTGAGGGTCCCGCGGCCCGACATTCGGCGAAAACGCACAAATGCGACGCCAGGATCTTGGGCGAGGCTGAGGGGTGCTCACGGGAGAGTTGCCTCCCCTCCTTTCTCCAGCCCACCAGCCCCGCGCGCTTCCAGCGGCAGGCCATTGGCGAGGACGGGGAGGGCACCGGCAGCGAGGACGCGGCCTGCGCAGCACCGCCGGTCGAGAGGTTTCGGACGCTCGGGGCTTGCTCTGGGCTTCCCGGGGGCCTGCCCCAAGACCCCCTCGCGACGTGACACCAATCGCGACGGACGGTTTTTCGTTCTTTCAGGGCGTTCGTTGTGGGACTCAGGCAAGCCTACTTGCATAGCCTTCCCCTCTCCTCCCCCTCCCCCTCTCTGCGCCGCTTTCTCGTGCAATGCTGGGCCGAAAGTGCATGCAAGTGAGTCCCGGCTTGCGTGAAGTCCAGATTCCTTTTCGGGCATCGCCACGCTCCCCCCCCGTTCCCCCCTCCATGCAAGTAAACTTGTCAGACTCTACAGAAAAACTGCCGTCCAGACCCTCGCGACGTGGAAAAGACGTAAGGTGTCTTCTTTCTTTCTGGCCTCCCAGGATCGTCGCTGGGCCCCGGGACCGCCAAACAGCTACCCGGGATGAAAAACCGGTCAAGAGGGTGGGCGTCGCAGTAATGGGGGGGCGATAAATGTGGGGGCCAGCAAGGGCTGCAGAACATGGGCCCTTTGAGGCCCCTAAGGGGGCCATGTGGGGTCCAAGAGGCGGCCGTTGGAGCCCGAGAAGTGCACCTCTCTCCCTTCATTTATCCCCCCATTAAGCGTCGCCAGAGAAGAAGGGATCCAGACCTCTCGGGAGCCACGGCGTTAAAAAGTTCGACGTCGGGGAGATGTGGGGCATTATGAGAGGTCTCTGCCCCCAGGGCCCCCTCCTGAGCCCATCTTGGCGCGCGAGCCTGCTCGGCCGCCGAGTCTGCAGCCGAGCGGTCCCAGATCCGGGATGTCGGTGGGGATCTCGCCCGCTCGGCGGCCGAGTGGGCTCGTGTTCCCGAGTCCACGCGGCGGCCGAGCGGAGTCGATCTCCCGAGTGGGCTCGGAAGCGAAGCCCTGGCGTTGGGGACACCACCCCCTGGCGACGTCCGAGGACCTCCAGGCACCTCCAGGCACCTCGAGGACCCCCAAGGCACCTCCAGGAAGGTGGAGGATCTGGGCTTTTGTATAGTTGAACGCCGCCCCCCCCCCCCTCACGAGACAGTATCTTTCGGTGTGCTGACATGTCACGGGGGGGGGTATGACGGTGGAATTTCCCCCTCCAGAATGGATTAGGGGCTCCGCGGCTGTGGAAAGCACCAGGGGGGGGGTCTTCATTTCCGCCCTGGGGTCAAGCCGCGTGCAGTGCCAGTAGCGCCAGTAGCATGAGCTGCGCGGCTGGGATCCGCTCGGCGACTGTGCCCAGCTGCACCCCTCAGCCTGCCCTGCTCGCCCAGGCCGGCAGGGGCGGGCCGGGCCCCCGGCTCCCGACCGCTGCTCCCCAGGACGGGATGCTGGCCGCCACGGTCAGAGCGAGGTGTGAGGTCGAGGTCGGTTCGGGGAGGGCACCCTCGTGTGCTCCGCGTGCTTGTTGGATTTTCTCGTGCACTCTGGGGAATTTGGACGCCCGAAATGGGTACGGAAAGCATGGGTACAGTGCCCAACAACTAATGCTGTCCCAAACCAACAGCGGTCGCTGTTGGGCAGGCGGCCTCCTGTCTCGAATGGACACAGGCCGCGGCGGCGTGGACAGCGAGCCCTGTTCAGAATGAACAGGAACTGCTGTTGGGCATTGTACCCATTCTTTCCGTACTTGCCCATTTCGGGCGTCCGAAGGGA